GGTGGGTGGGTGGGGGGCGCGGAGCTGGGATCCCAGGTGCTGCTGCAGGGGATAAGTGCGGAGGGCTGGGAGCTGCTGGGGGGGATACCTACTGCATGGGGCCTTTCAGGGCTAGATGCTTCCTGTGGGTGGGAAACGCCTCGAAGATGAAGTTAAAAGGTGAATCTTGATGCAAAATGGGAGGAAAGATGTGGTTTTGGTTTCAGGACTGAAGATGAGGCTTTCATGTGTTAGCAGGGCTGATAATGCTGGATTTGTCTGAGATGGAAAGACCTGACTAAAGAAAAATGGCTTTCTTTGTATCAATTCGGTCTTGACTGTTCTGTCTTCTGGTTAGCAGCATCTACTTGGAGTGATGGTGGCTCAGTTCGTCCTAGCTACTGGCTGGGTCTTCACAATCTCACTCCACAGGTATTTTCTGTTGTTGTCTCTGAGAACTTGTTGGCTTTACCAAGATAGGTTTGTGTATTCTTCAGTTGTTTCTCTTTGAATAAAATCTCAGAAAAAGAGATTTGTGAGCATACGCAAGATGCGTTTCTACTAAACTGGGCTGCAGTCTGATTGGTTTTTCTATTGCAATCTCTTGAGCTGACTTGAAGATGTTTGGTTTTTGCTGCATGACCATCATAACCTTTTATTACCAAAAGTTTCAATTATTGGAACAGAAAGATTTTTTCGTAGAAGTGAGGACAAGTTGCATGGCCGTATTGTGGAATGGTTTGTAGCTGTTGAAGTGGCTGTTCTTTGAGATAGTGTCAATCAGCTGATGTAACTGCCAGTTTTCACTTTGGGGTTTCCATAGTGAAACCGCAGAATGTTTCCAGCACTCCTGCCAAAAACAGTCTACTTACATTATTGCTGCAAGTATTCTCAGAGCTTGCTTCCATTCAGAATTAATTCTGTGGAGATCCTGATTTCAGCAATCCCAATTAGTTGTACTCAAGGCTTAGGAAAAGCCGGTATGATTATCAGCAGCGCCCTGAGGTCTAGACAGAGTTCTCTGTTCAAAAAGCTGCAGTCTAAGAAAACATCAAGATGAAAGGAAAAACTAAGGTCTCCTTCAGATTACCCAGAACAGCAAACTGCTCCTTCATGAAAAAGATTGTTTTCCTTGATGTGAAGGAAACAGCAGTGTGCGACAAAGAGGCGCAGTTGTAAGTCTCCCTTGTGCGAGGTAGTTTAATACTGGTTTAGAAATCATTTAATGGAAGGAGAATATATTTTGGAGCCATTTAAGTTAATAGAAAAGAGAAAGAAGCTGATTTCACTTCTCTGTAACAGATCCTCTCTTCATTGTGGGTCAGCAGAATAGAGTCAGAAGTGTAAAGGTTAAAGTGGATCCATGGGCAGTATCTTCATTTCAGATGTCTCTGGTTTAACTTTGTCCGTATTTGTACCCACACACAACTTTCTTCTCCCTCATTTGAGCTGGCCCTATAGAGTAGTGGAGGGAGGGAGAAGGAAGAAAGTAGCTCTTCCTTAAGCATCTGCACATGTGGATCCCATTCGTGTGTGCATGTTCCCGTGGCATACCTGGAATGGAATCTGTCTGTACAGACCACCTTGGAGAGGAGCAGTTAGTGGAGGTAGGTAACAAGCTGTTACTGCTGCAGCAGTAACGCAGGCAACAACTGCTGTGGAAGCATTAGTTCAGGAGGAATGAATATTGCTGGTTTGGCAGAAAGGTCCCTGACTCTATCTGTGACTTAATGTTTCATAAACCACAAAGACAAAAAAGCACCAAAATAACTTTTGGAAAACCCTCATTGTAGAGGTGATATTTCCGGTTCTGCAAAGAACTTCTAAATACTGGGTGATCTAAATTCCACTGAAATCAGAATGCTGGAGACTAACGAATTCTGATTCCTTTGGTGCAGATCCTAATGGCTGAAGATGGTGAGTAGTACAAGTTGTATGTAATTACTAGAAAACCTACCCACATAAGGATAGTGACAATATAAGAAACGCAGAAGATAGGGAAAACTGGACTCAAGCTAAAAGTGACCAGCAAAGATGTCAGGTTATTCCGTAAAGCAAAGTCATTGTCATTGTGAGAAATCAAGGCGTATTTGTTCTGTTTGAAAGTTAAATCCTGTCACCTTCCTGCTGCTTTCACCCGTTTCCCTTTCTGAGAGCATATTATCTTTAATTACGGGGACAAAGTTAGGATTGAAGTTCATTTGGAGAAGTAGTTACAAGAATCTGTTTTATCCTGGCTGTTCTTACTCAGATCGATGGGTCAACCTTGAGGACGATCTGCATGCAGCACGGCCCACTGCTGACATTCCATCTGAACCTGACCCAGGGCACCGCCCTTATCCGATACAACACCAAACAGGAGGCGGCCAAGGCCCAGACTGCACTGCACATGTAAGCAATCCCTGCCTCCTTTCCTTGCTCCTGTGTTAGTTACAGACTCGAAGCATCTGTCCAGGGCTGTGCTTTGGAAACGTGTTTCAAGTATCGTGGTCGGAAGGGAATCTTCCATTCCTTGGCAGGGGAAGAATAGAAACAGGTGCCTTCTGTTTGTGTTACTTTAATTGCCGGCACATACAGAAGGTGCAGATAGGATGGTGTTGTGAGCAGTACACACCTTCCTGTACAATTTGGCCATCTTCTAAAAGCTTATGGATTGTTTCAGATGAAAACAATTCTTGTATGCGTAACCCAAACGTGTGGAAATCAGCTATAGTTTTGAGATGCACCTGAAATAGCTAACTTTAAAAACTGCAGGTCTTAGGTTTCCTGTTCTTAAGCTTTCTGGACATGGATGTGCCTCTGGTATGTTTTGAAAATGTGAGAGGTTTTGAGACAAAAATATTATGGGGGGAGGGGATGTAAGCCCTTAAACTCAGTGAAAACTTTTGAACTTACCGTCAATTTCACAGGCTTTTAATTTGTTGTTCCTCAGTTTTGTTTGAAAGGTGGCGTGTACACATTTACCATTTTAGCTGCACTATAGAGGCGCTTTATTACTCTTGGTGCTAATATACAGGACCGTAGTTTGAATTTAGAAAGGTTGTGCTGCAGCTGCGTGTTGGGAGGAGAGGGTGAGTTGGTTGGTTTGGTTTGGGTTCCCCTTCCTCCACCGCTGCTTTATAAAATGGAAGTGCTTGTGCCTTGAGTCAGAATAGCTAAAGTTTTCTGTGCTTGCTCCCTTGTGGCAAGCTGGTGTCTCCTTTGCTTTGGCCACCTGATAGTGTTGTTTCCAAGCCTTTTGAATCCCTTGCCCTTACCTTCCAGCTCTAGTTCTTACTTTTTCTTCCATGTATCTTGTCTTCCAGGTGTGTGTTGGGAAACACTACCATCCTGGCTGAGTTTGCCACAGATGAAGAGGTTAGTCGCTTTCTGGCACAAGCTCAGCCCCCTACACCTGCAGCAACCCCAAGTGCACCCACAGCAGGCTGGCAATCCCTGGAGACAGGACAGAACCAGACAGATCCAGTTGGACCTGCTTTGAATCTCTTTGGTGGGTCAACAGGGCTTGGGCAGTGGAGCAGTGGTGGCGGCGGCGGCAGCAGTGGGGGTGATCTCACTGGCGCTTCCTTGTGGGGGCCCCCTAACTATTCTTCAAGCTTGTGGGGGGTCCCGAGCGTAGAGGATCCACACAGAATGGGCAGCCCTGCTCCCTTACTACCTGGAGACCTTCTGGGAGGAGGGTCGGATTCAATCTGAACTTAGAACTTTCAACTCTGACCTCGTGACCTTTTTTGGAACAGCAGCAGCACTAACTTGACCTTTTCGTTTTTTTCAACTTGCAATAAATACATTTATAAAAGGAAAAAAGAAAACAGAGAGAGAAAAAAAGGTGGGTCATTGACAGACTGTCTGAGCACATAGTTGCCTCCCTTATATAACTTCAGTTTTTTCGTTTGGAATACGAATCCAAAAAGAGAACATATCACTCTTGAAATACTTGAATCATGAACGCCAACTTAGAAAGACAATGTGAAGCAAGTACACATACCATTTAAATTTAAACACAAAAAATTAAAAAAATTAGTTTCTAGTTTTTCACTTTTTCATGTTATACGGAAGTTGTTGCTAAGAAACATATATACTGAAAAAATAGCTTTTTAACTTTGTTTGCACTGGGTGTGTTTCCGTCCTTAGGTCTACCATGTTGGGTTGGGGTAGGGGAGGGGTTCAAAAGAAAAAGGGGGTGGG